TGAAGGTTGATAGAAGATGAGACAACATGTGCTTCTAAGCACTCAGAAGCCCTTTGTATGACAAAAAGCCCAAGTCTTTGATAATAAAAACATAAATGGAGGGTTGTACTACCAATCCCTGCATTGACACAGTGTCAGGCACCAGGGAATCTCGCTTGAGATCAGAGAAGCTGCAGAACTAGGACAGGAAGCATAGGTGGGAAATGGCAGTCACTTAGGGATAGACTGGGTCAATGCCACATCAGGATGAGATACAAAGATAAACTAATATGAAGTTTACCAAGACAAAGACAAAGAAAGGTCTGGGCAGACCAAAGATATCAGTTGTGATATGCCCCTGAGAACTATGGCTCAAGGTCAGATCAGCTTGAACTGATTGCTCTGCCAATGATGTCCACTGATAAGAGATCCTGTTGTCTTCATCTCAGCCCATCGGCTCTTTTATCTCACTTTCTCCTCCTGTTCTGTTGATAAGGATGAGTAAAGGTGTAGTTGGATAGGTGTCCAGTATCTAGCCAGGTAAAACAAACACTGGTATGAACTTTAAAGACTGGAAATGAGTTTCTGAAAACACGCAATCCAAGAAAAGAAGAAATGTGATTACTGAATGTTATGGCCATTTCTCCTACATAGAATCATAGAACGTTTTCAGTTGGAAGGGACCTCAAAGCTCATCCAGTTCCAACCCCCTCCCATGGGCAGGGACACCTTCCACTAGACCAGGTTGCTCAAGGCCCCATCCAGGAGGTGAAAGGAGTAGCCTCTTCCAGTGAGGAAGAACCTGGAGATCTAAAAAGGAAATCTTGGTGACTGCATGCATGGTTTTATGCCCTAACAGTAGGGAATATAAACCCTTCTTCATTGTCAGTCATTTCTACCTCATTCTCTTCCTACTCTGTCTAAAATGTGGAGACATTATAAAAATCCTTTGTCCAAGTAATGATGTTTTACTTCTAATTTTACTACCATCATTAAGCAACAAAGCCTTATACAATAAATAAACATATATAAACATAGTTTAGTGTGTGGTGTCCCTGCTCAGGGCAGGGGGGTTGGAACTAGATGATCTTAAGGTCCTTTCCAACCCCAACTATTCTATGATTCTATGATTGCTGTATTTCATCTCCATGCATCACCAACCACCTTGAGGCAAATGGGTGAGCTGTCGGCTATTTTAAGGACATCCTGTTCCTCTGCTCCCCTTCCCAAAATAAGGGAACACTCAATAACCACAGTCAGTCAATTTGCAGAAGAGCATTGCCGAGAGTCATGGGATTCCCGGGACAGTTCTGTCTTTCTGTATCTGTACTGGAAATGGCTGAGGAAAAGTTGACCAGAAAATAACATTCTTATTAAGAAGATGAGGAATGTTTTCCATCTTCAACTAGGAACTCGGTTGTATTTCAGCATGGAGAAATATTTAATTCTTGTATTTCCACTGGGATAACAATCCCTCAGGTAATACCAAAGTAATAGCTCCAGAGTACTGGCCAAAACATGGCATTTCATGCAGTGTCTGACTAAAGCCATGAAAACTCCAAATAATTCCCTGGATTGGGGGGTCAGTCTGGTTCTGTGGTCTTTAACCATGCTTGGATTGCTGCCCTCATAGGTTATACAGTTCATCTATGATACAAATTCAAGGTCTCAGAAAGTCAGGGCTCCTTTAGATGAAGTTGGTCCAAGCAAGATTAGCCATAATTTCAGGTTTATAGGGTTTTTCTGGACCTGGGCATTAATTTGCCTTTACATTTGTTGTCACTGGACATCTGAGATCAAGTGTCTGAGGAACCAGGGGCAGGCAGGAGAACAAAGATGAAGTAGATGGCACATTCCCCAGAAAAGTACCAAATACATAAAAGATGGGAACATTCAGACTCACTGTAGGAATTTCAGCTGTTAACCCGGTGAGCTTTTGAATCACAGTACTGACACTGAGCTGCAATGATAATAGTTATTATTACTGGGAATTGCACTGGCAGGGGAAGGAGAGAAGATTCTATTTCCCAGCTGAAGGGGCTTCAAAGTAGCTGCAGGTTGCCTGAGTGAAAGTTCACTCTCCTGCTAATAAGATGTCCTGCATGGAAAACACTTTTAATAGTTACATATTGGAGTTTATTTATTTGCTGGTGTTTCAGTACAATCTGCCATCTCTCTCTGTTGTGCAGAGACCAAATATAACCTCCCACTTCTCTCAAGGTCCTGTTTTGCTATGAAATGAGTCCCAAAGGCTGCTGATTTTCCTCAGTTTGCTTAGTTGTAGACACCTCAAAGCGTGTTAGATAAAGGCTGCTGATGTTGTGCCCTATTGAAAGATATGCTTACTCTTGGAAGCTTGGTAGCACCATTACTCCTTTGTGCAGAAATGGAAGGAGATGCCACTCTTCAGAGCTTTTAGGAGCTTGTAGCAATGAACTAACTCTCAAGACACTTGGTTGTTTCTCCTAATGCCAGGAGAAGCCCAGACAAATACCCCAGATACAGCTCTAAGGTGCCTGAATGTAAATGCCACAATAACACCCACAGTGTTCAGCTTTGGGAGCTGACGATAACCTCACATCCTTTTGGTTAACAGTTTCCAAAGCACATGAGTTACATGAACCCTTGAATTTAGTGTCAGCATTATTCCGAACATGTGTGCTAAAACACAGAGCAGCATTACTGGAAAGTCTCTCCTGGGCACTGCTCTGAACCCTCCCCACGGTTACTTAAGCTCACATTGTCTTACAAACATACACTGTGTTGTTTCACTTCTCACTCCTCTGCACTTTCCTGCTCCTCAACTTTTTCATGGCATTTTTCACTTCTTTGTTTCGGAGGGTGTAGATCAAGGGGTTGAGCATGGGCATGATGATGGTGTAGAACACAGAGACCTTCTTGTCTGCTGAGAATGTGGTGGAAGGGTGCATATAGGTGAAAATGCCTGGCCCAAAGAGCAGAACTACAATAATGATCTGGAAAGTACATGTATGAACTGTTTTGAGACGCCCTTTGAAAGAGCATGTCCTCAAAGAAACCAAGACAATAGTGTAGGACACAATAAGAGCAATGAAACAGCCCAGGGAAGTCACACCACTGTTGGCAACCACTCTGACACCAGTAATGTAGGTGTCAGTGCAGGCCAGCTTCAGTAGCGGGGGAACATCACAGAAATAGTGGTCAATCTCGCTGGGCCCACAAAAAGGCAGCTGAATGACCAGCAGGGTTTTCACCATGGAGTGTACAAAGCCTCCCACCCAAGAAGCTGCCACCAGCCAGATGCAGACATGCTTGGTCACAATACTTGTGTAATGAAGAGGCTTGCATATAGCAGTGCAACGGTCATAGGCCATCACTGTGAGAAGGAAGATCTCAGTGCATCTGAAGAGATGGCCCCCAAACAGTTCTCAAGAAGTAGGTCATAAATGAGTTTGGGAGCTACGACGGTAGAGTAGCTGATGTCCACAAAAGACAAGTGGCTCTGGAAGAAGTACATGGGAGAGTTCAGCTGCTCACTTGTCTTTATAATAATGATGATAAGCAGGTTTCCAAGAATGATGGTGGCTTTCACCACTGTCTTATCTTGTGTCAGTCCATGGAGGATGAACTCTGTCACATTGTTTTCGTGCTCCATGGATACCATGTAGACAGGACCTGAAGCACAGAAAAGAGACATCAGCTATAGCATTAGATATGGGACATTATCACACATACACACTGACCACTGCTAGTTAGATAGGCTTTGTATTTCCTTTGCTGTATTTTTGGGACAGTTTCCATTTAAAGACAATGATTGCCTCAAGGAATAACAGTTGATATCCAAATCAGAATGTATAATTGATGTATATAATGTATATAATTGATGTATATAATGTATAATTGATGTATATAATAACATATATATAACACAACATAATAACACAAAGCAAGCTCAGACTATTTATTTGAGAGTGGTAGAAATTATACCCTCAAGTTCTCACCTTTGCCTCTTTTAAAACACAAGACTAATTACCAGGTCCCCTCAAGACTCACTTTTGCCCTATAATGTTGATTTAGGAATAGAAGTTGACCAAAAGAGTGTGGCTCGAATTCAAGCCTCAACGCTTTGATCATGGCCTGAAGAAGGTCCCTGCAGAAGCAGTGATTGTACTTTCCTTTTCACTCCTCTAAAGGATTGCAACAGAACGTGTCCTTCTTATACCTCTGACTATGGTAGATCTGGATGAGTTCAGACACAGAAAGAGCTGCCCAGTATTTTCTTGGACCACCTTTCTTACAGCACATGAATTAACTAATTGGAGCTAGTTTACATTAATGGGACTTTATCAGGGATTCATATACCTCACCCAGGTCCTGGACTTAGTGTGGGACACCTCATAAATGCACCTGTAGTAACACCAGAGTAATGAATATACCACTAGTGACCCTCCTTTACTCACGAACACCCATGAATCCACCTCTGTGGCATTCCCATGCACACAAGTATCATTAGTTCAATTTATATGTGAAGCTAGAAGTCGTAAATGTGTAATGACCTTGTCTGTGATATCAGCAGGCCCTCAGGCAATGTAAGACTGAGCACATGGGAAGTGTCCATCAGCTCCTGAGTCCTCTCTGTAACACTGAAAACATCCTTTTGACAGATTTTTCTGGAAACAACATATAACTGGGGGAAAAAAAGCAAATAAAACACCAACTAAAACAGAAGCTGGAAAACGTATAATTGAGGGGTTTTTTCTAATTCATAAAATGGACCTCATGAAAGTCACTATTTTCAGATGCAGGATTTCAGTCACGCTTGAACAGAACAAAGGAATGATATTTACACAGTGCATGTTTGCCAGTCTCGAAGCATTCACTTGCTATTGCTTCTCTGATGACCTCCTCCGACCACTTTTAGGTGGTTTCATCAGCATGTCCCAGCTGTGAGTTGTGGCTTAGCTGTTGTGAAAGCAGTGCGTATCTCTGCTGGTTCTGAAACATACAGCAGCTGGAGAAAAAAGCCTGGCTGTCTGTATATCTCATTCTGCAAAAGACCACAACATCCAAGAACATCTACAAGAACAATTGTCTCTCACCAGATGGGGAAATGGTAGTAGAAATATTTAAAGTAAATCACACAGCAGAGGCACGAAACTATCAGGAGTAATGAGATCCCAGAGGCACGCGAAGCTTTGTTAGTGGACAAGGAGCTAAAGCTTCTCCTTTGGATATCTATTATGTTAGTCTCTTCAGACTGGTGTTGGAGTCTGGTCATCTCAACTCTTATATTGCACATGGGTTTGCTTGCTTGCTTCTTTGTTTGCTGAATGGCTTTTTAATGCTGTCCAGATAAATAATCTTATTTACTAGTGGATACGTATTTTCTCTGGAAGTATTTCT